TGAAAGGCAATACCATTCTGTATGTAGATGCTTTGTCGAGATTGAGGTTTATTACTTCTGAAAATGACAAAGAGGAGGAAAAATTCAGAGATACTTTCTTACACTGGGTCGAAACTGATATTTTGTTGATAGACAAATTAGCTGATGATATGAAGCGAGATCCCATATTGAACAGTATATTATTCAGGATAAAAAATAAGTGGAATAATTGTTCACAAGCAGAAAGTCGTTTTTAAAGAGGTTAAAATACAAATTAATTGCAGAAAAGTGTGTAATTTGTAATGGAGGCATAGTGGTTCTGGTAGCAATGCAAATGAGCAAAATTATTAAAAGCATACATAACTATGTTCATTGCGGAATAATGTCTATGCAAAGATGCAGAAGAATACATAAAAAAAAAGGTGTATAATGTACAATAAGAAAATTTAGACAAAAACACATATATGGCCTAAAGAGTCCCAACCTTGGGACAGAGTACACATGAATCATGCCCATATTAATGGAGTGGGATTATTATTGATATTGGTAGATTCGTATTCAGGCTGGCCAGAAGTAATACAGCTCTCCAACAAAAGAAGTTTGATTGTGAAACAAGCATTAAGGATCATATTTTCAAGAAATGGAATTCTGAAAACATTAGTATTTGACAATACTTCAGAGTTATGTAATGAGGAATTATGCCAAGGGTTGAACAAAATTGGATGCAACCATATACCTCTCACCCCGTACCATCCGCAATCAAATGGATTAGCAAAATGGAGAGTCCAAACTATAAAAGAATGGATTGAAAATATGTGTACAATGGAAAGAAAAGATAGAAACATTTCATCCTAGATTGTTGCTAACTTATAGGACAATACCACATGATGGAAGATTGAAAAAGCCTGTCCACCCTCATGGGTAGACAAATTAGAGCCCCATTGATCATGTCCTATGACACCACCAAAACACTATGGTATGAAAAGAATAGTAAATCTAATCAACAAGTGGCAATACTCATAATGCAAAGTGGACAGAACACTATGATAATAGAAAAAAATGGAAATGGAATATTAGCACATCTAGACAAAGTTAGATTGCAACATGATAGCAATGAAGAAATGTATAGTGAGCCTGAAAATAATGAAGACGAAAGTGTCATGGCAAGACAAATATGACAGTGAAATCGAGATAATATAGACTCTGAAGATGAACACTCGTTGGAGGAATACTCCTATGAAAAAAGAAAAAGATCATTATCTCCCATATATAGACAATCTCTTAGGGAGGAGGAGGAAGATAGTGAGGAGACAAAATCTCCCAGAAGTACCAGGGGAAAATAAAGGGATAAAACCTCTTTGGTACAGGGAGATAAGGTGTCTTATTTACATAATAATTTACAAAGACTATAAATAGATACGGCAATTATCCACAAGGCAGTTGAGTGCATACTACTTCACACAAGTCAGTAACACTACATTATAGGATCTAATCTTTTTGTGTGGTATCAATGGGTTAGGGTTACTGTTCTGTCTTAATCTATTGCTCTAGAAATTGAGCATAGGTTTATTGCATAGGTTGGTGCTTGCCTTTTCTTTTTTTGTTAATGTTTCCTTTTCCATTCTTTTGTCATTTTTAAAAAAATTTTTATTGATTCTTGGTTTCTCTTTTGTTCCAAGTTTTGTGTTGGTAGAATTGCATTTCCAAACTTTACTAATACAGTGGAACTTCAATTTAACAGACTACTAGGTTGTGATCATCCATTAAAGCCGTTTGTCTGTTAATTTGAAGCACTTATTTTTACAGCCTAAAAACACCCAGTACAGTACAAAATTATTGTAAATAAATGTAAATACAGTATATATGTATGTGTATTTTATTTTTCAGTTACTATATACCTTTAAATAAAGTTTGAAAAGCTTTAAAGTTAAATCTGGAGTCTGTTAATTCCGGGGCCATTAATTCAAGGTTTTATTGTACTCTGATTTGTATGTCTATGTGTTTGGAAAAATTAATTTGATTTTCAGTCCAGCATGAATAGTTACAAGACTTGTCAAGGTGTGATGTGATGTTGGTGAAATTTCTCATCAGTTGTTCCAGGGCAAGAAAACCTTTCAAGAGATATCAACCAATTCCACATGGTAAATAATTACAAAATGCTGTTAGTATTTTGAGGATGCTGAAAAAAGCAAACCAGACAGAAATTAATATTAGAAGAAATTAGGTTTTTAAAACCATTTAGTTTTATATATTGAGAGAACTAATCAAACGTCTTTTAAACCATATCCTCATGAAAAAGTGGTACCAGTTTAAACTAGGTACCTCCACAAAAACGCAAAAAAAAAAAATCGGCATAGCGTGATGAAAACATGCTCCAAACATAATGAAATCATAGTTTTATTGTCATAATATTTATGTCATTATTAAGAGCAAGGAACAAGTATTTTTTGAATTCTTAATTAAATTTTTTACTCCTTTTTAGAACATTTGAAATTTTGATTAAAATACTCGTTTTTCTTGCATTTGGTTGTACTAACTTTTAGCATAGCAAATTTTGGCCTCTTTTCTTTCTTCTTTTTTTTTTTTTTTTTTTTTTCAGTAACAGACACATTAATTTGGAAATTCTTGCAAAAATCAATTGTTGAGTTTTAATGAAATTTTCAGGACTTGTTCACACATGAATTTTGGGATTTTATTCTATTAGAAAATCTTGGTAAAATATTTTTTTTTTTTTTGTTTTTTGTTTTTACACATGTTTCAAGTTTTATGAAAACTTGAGAAATTTAACATAACTTTTAATGACTATATTAGTTAAAAGCACAATTATTCCAAGGATTGAAATCACTTAATTTATTTTGCAAAATTGGACCTCATCTTACTGAAAATCTGTTCTGAATTGAAAAATAAAAAATGCAATAAAACTAAGACATTATTTAATTAGAGAAGCTTTTAATTGCTTTTATTAATAATATATATTAAAGACAATATTGTCTGAAAAAAAAAATTCAATGAAAAATGAATTTTTACAAGATTTGTTTTCATTTTTTACAATTTTAAATTGAATAATTTTAAAATTTGTAAATCTTTTAAAATTCATTTTCAATGTTATAGCTCTTAGGAAATATTGTCATTAAGTAAAACTATATTTACTAATCATATATTTTAAAGCTTATTACAATCTGACAACCCTGAATATTTAAAAAAAAATTTCAATTTGTTTTTGTATGTGTATATACATGCAGAATTTCTGAAGTATGGATGGTCAAACCTATAACTATCATTTAAAGGTCATGTGTTTTAAGGGTTGTACCCTCCTTATGGGGGTAAAAACCCTTCATATAAACTTTGTCTGCTCCACTATACTTAACTAGGAACATGTTCAACTGTCAATCGATCGATTAACATGTCAAACAAATGAGATCCTGTAGTTAACAAATGTTTGCATACAGCATTTTATGCTATAAGTAATATTTGTTTCAAATTAGATTAATTTAGATTTGCTAATTTTCCTCATTTTTTTCAGAAATATATATATTTTAGTTTTGCAAGATTTTTAGAACCAAGAATTAACTTTTGTTTACAGATGTGTCAAAAAATGGCTGTTTTTATTAATTAAAAAAAAAAAAAAAAATTGATTCCGATCAATGTAATTTCTGTATTTTGTTTACTGGAAATAGTGAATTTTATATCCTTTAGCTTTCAATGAAAGCTTCAAGAACGTTTTTTCATTTTTAAAAATTAATTTTAAACTTTGTGTACTGAATTAGTGGAGGTACCTAGTTTAAACTGACACCATTTTTCTACATATTGTGGCCATTTTGCCTAAAGTTTGTATTTTCTGGATTTCAGTGAAAAACTTGGGAATTTCTTAAGATATTTAGGTGAGATTTTCACTTTCCAGAATTTTGGTTTATAATTGTTAGTTTAAGTTAAATCAATTAATAATTTCTTTTTTCTTGCATAATAAATAATCATTGTCAAATTATTTCTTGATTCTTTTTAGCTTCTAAGCTTAAAACAGTGCAGTTTTCTTTTCAATGTTCCTGGCTTGAAATGCTGGTCTATTGTGCAATCTCTTTGTCATGTGATCCTGATATTTGCTTTAATACCAAATTTGGTTTAATACTAAAATAATAAAAAAGAACAGATGATGTACTGAAAATTTTAAAAGTATGTATTGTTTTAAAACCTGGGACAGTATTATTATTCCATGATTTATTTGAACTAGTATCTTCATCTGTCTACATTTCTGAGATGAGCTATTGTAACTATTTAGAAAAGGTTGTTTGAAATTCCAATGTGTATCACCTGAAGGAGTGTACAACAGCCAAAATATGAATACGGCAACAAAGATGATGCCAACAATGTAAATAGTGTAAATAGTATCTTCATATTTGTTATTTTGATAACTTTTATGCAACATACTAACTAGCCCTTCTAGTATTGTGTCAGCTTTATTATTATTAATATTTTCTTTGTTTGGATGAGTGTCCTGGCTGATCTACTCTCAGCCTTCCATAGGTCCATGTTGCATTTAGTCAATCTTGAATAGAATCTTGTTTAGATTTTTTTATTTGTTTGCTGATTTTGGCCAACATTTCAATTAAGTGTGTATTATTTGGTATTTTTCATTTTAAAAATAGTTATTTAGAATAATAATTAAAAAACAAACTATTAACCCCAATCTGATGCAGAATGAGTGAGATTTTAGTTTCAGAGATCTTTGTTTAAAATATGTTAAGCCTACTGATCTCACAAGCCATTAACAATGAGTTTGGTCCTTACAGAGTATTCTCCAAATGTTGGCCTATCCCAGTGTTGTACTAGTTCAGCCAATGCTTGTTCCCTTTGGTATTAAAGTAAACAATAGTTGTTTGTATGGTAGGCAAATAAATATTCTTTTACCAATTCAGGTCTTCATTGAGCATCCCTTAACTTTTTCATCCACTCATTCATTCACACATTCATTTGCTAGCATTCTTGTTCTTCTGTTAGACATATGTCTATATCTCATTCCTTAGGGAGAAATTTGTATATTACAGGGAGAAGAGGGTCTTCGCAAACATCCCCCAACATCTTATGACATGGACCGTGTGAAAACAACTTTGAAACAGTTTGTGCGTGACTGGAGTGAGTCTGGTCGCAGTGAGAGAGCTGCCTGTTATGATCCTGTCATTCGGGAAATTCGCAGAAGATTCCCTCCTCAAATGTGGTAAGTACACAGCAGTCGTTCATGGATTGACACTTGAAATTTATGAAATGGTTGTAAACAATAACAAAAAAAAATATTTTCATACATGGTTCTTTTAAAATGAATAGGTATCAAGTCTTTCTTTTGCACTTTGCTACTCTCTATCTATCTATCATATATATATATATATATATATATATATATATATATATATATAAATTTGCAAGGTGCATTTTTATCAAGAAACCTCTGAAACCTCTTTTTTTGTTAAATAATATGGACAAGTTCTGCCCATCAATTTTTTTTTTTATTAAATCTTTCAAATTCCCAAATAAGTTGTTTTGTGTTATTGGTAAATTTGCTAAAATTCATATTAATTTTTATTTTATATTATTTTTGTCTTCTGAGTACTTATATATATATATATATATATATATATAATTAATCACTTATCTGATTTATGTTATATTTAGCTCTTTGACTCCAGAGTTTTTGAAATGACCCTTTTTGTAATTGTCTGACCCACTCAGCAGGTTTCAGAAATTGACTCATATTTTATAAACTTTGTTTAGATAAATACTGAATAGCTTTATTATATTATGGCAATAAAAACAGACATAGTTAAGTCAAGTACAGAAAAAAATCACAGCTACTGTAGTTAGTATGAAATTGGAAACACCAAAAACATGGAAAAAAATAGATTAAGCTAAGCTTTCAGAATTTAGGAGAATGAACCAGAAACCCACCCTAAACAGGAAACAAAGTATAAGACTGGGAAGGAGTGTGAACTGGGCAATAGGTGAACATATCTACTTTTATTTATGTATGTGTATATAAGGACTGATTTAAACATTTTTCAATTGACACATTAAAAAGAAAAATGAACTCTGTGAAAATGAACCCCCCTCCAAATATTGGAAAAATAGAAAAAAAAATATGCATATGTAATATATGTATTCACCTGGTTGGCGTAAAATGACCTATCAGGGTTAACATGACCTTAAATACAATCTAACCAACCAACCAGTTTTATAATATATACACATCCTTCTGTGTGTGTGTTCCATATATGCCCAGTTATTTCAGAGCAGATAATGTGTGTTCCTGCTGAATTGTTTGTCTGTGTGTACAAATATATAATAATCCAATTCTGTCAATTATGTTAATCTTAAACCATTAACAGTTTTTTTTTTCTGATTTTCTAAGCCCAACATATGTCACAAAAGTTGCTCAGAGAAATTTCAAATAAAAATTGTAAAGTCAATGACAAAATCATTACATTCCAGCAGTTTTACATTATAGTGATTTTCATTTGTTCACAGTCCTATGAATGATCTTTCCCTTATTTGACCAAGATCAACACTTAGCAAAAGTTGGCTTTTAAAAATTCTCCTGTCAAGACTCAAAATATATCCTTTGTGTTTCCCTTCCTCTTCAGACTGCTAACATTTAAAGTAATAAAAATATTGGATTAAAAATAAATCCAATAATACTTTAGAAATTGCTTTGTTTATGTTTTGGATAGGATATAGGCTTCCAGGAAAATCTGATCAAGACAATGTGCATTCCTTAAAAGGGTAAATAGAACCTTGTTGGACTGTGATACTTTTCTGCAACCAAGTGGTCTAAAGCATACCAGATCAGATGGTGGTTTTTCTACAAAGGAGGGGAACACATGTTTGAAGCCTGCTGGCGAGTAGGACTTGTATCTGGAAAATCATTGTTATTCTCAAAAAATTGTTAATACAATGTTCACTAGCAAAAAAAAAAAAAAATTCTTACAATCCAAAATATATTTTGCCTTTAAATGACCCACAAAAGGTTGATAATCCATAAAAAACAGAGACACTGAATTCTAGTATGAGAGTATCTGTTTCAAACGTACCTGTACTAAAACAAGTAATTTGAAATATCCAATAAGAAAAATGATAATTTAACTAAAAGGATTTAAATTAAGCTACTGATATTCAGGGAACTTAAAACAATTACTTATTTTAGTGCATCATTTTACTTAAAATTATTGCCATATAACACAAACAATAGACAGTGCATTATTTAAACGAAGTAGGCGTAAATAATCAGCAGTCCCCTCTTATAGCCATTTATTTATCACTTATGTTATTGCCAACTAACATTGTTTTTACATTTACATAAGTAATGAAGTAATTGTTCTAAGTAACGCAGTTAATCAAAATAAGTGCTGCATAATTTATTGCGTTAACTTGACCATTCATGAAGTATATCTGCTGGAACCATGACAACCAGTCATAGATATAATAGTTTTATTAATAATAACTGTTGTTAATGACTTAACAACTTATCAAGCTTGAAACTTGTCTTTTTTGTTGTTTGAGAAATTCATCTTACAAAATAACCTCCCCATTCTGTATGATGTTCTCTTTTATAGATTCATGACATGTTAATAAAATTTTATATATTCTATGATATCACAGGTAGGATTTATTAATTAAAAGAATAATCAAGTTTTTATTTTAGCACTGATTGCACTTAGACCTGA